AAATACAAAAGATACAATGTATGCATAATGGGGATACCAGAAGGAGAAGAAACAGAGAAAGGAACAGATGAATACCTGAAACAATGACTGAATTTCCTCAAATTAATGCTAGACACCAAGCCACATATCCAGGAAGCTCAGAGAACACCAAGCAAAATGCTTCAAAAACTACACTAGGCATATCACTTTCAAATTACAGGAAATCAAAGATAAAGAAAAACCCTGAAAGAAGCCAGAGGAAAAAAAACATATTGCTTATAGAGAAACAAAGATAAGAATTACATCAGACTTCTCCTCAGAAACCATGCAAGCGAGAAGAGAGTGGAGTGACATATTTAAACTGTTGAGGAAAAACCCCTGCTAACCTAGAACTCTGTATCCTGAGAAATTATCCTTCAAAAGTGAAGGAGAAATAAAGACTTTCTCAAACAAATATTGAGGAAATATGTTGCCAATACACCTCCCTTGCAAGAAATGTTAAAAGAAATTCTTTAGAGAGAAGGAAAATAATGTAGGTCAGAAACTGATCTACATAAAGAAAGGAGGAGCATCAAAGCAGGAATAGTGAAGGTACAATAAAAACTTTTATTTTTCCTACTCTTAATTGATCTAAGATAACAGTTTGTTCAAAATAATAGCAACAATGTATTTGATTATACATGCTTATGTATCATATATATCTTATGTGTGTACTAATATACAAACACGCATATATAGTATGCATATATACATGCTTATGTATGCTTTTATGTAAGTGAAATGAGTGACAGCAATGATACAAGGGACAGGAGGGAGGAATTAGGAATATTTTGTTTTTATAAGGCACTCACACTACCCATGATGGTATCATGTTATTTGAAAATGGACTTAGATTAGTTATAAATGTATATTGCAAACTCTAGGACAACCACTATAAAAGGTCAAAAAAAGCATAACTGATATGCTAAGAAAGGAAAGAAAATGGAATCATATTAAATGCTCAATTAAAACCACAAAAGGCAGGAAAAGAGTGGAAGGCAAAAACAGGAACAAAGAATAAGGGCAACATATAGAAAACAGTAACAAATATGGTAAATATTAATCCAACTATATCAGTAATCACTTTGAATGTCAATGGCCTAACTGTACCAATTAAAGACAGATTGTCAGAGTGGATCAAAAACACAACCCAACAATATGCTGTCTATAAGAAACCTACTTGAAATATATAGGCACATATAGATTAAAAGTAAATGGACAGACAAAAAAATACCATGCTAACACACAACAGGAAAACAGGATTAGCTATATTAATTTCAGTCAGAGCAAACTTCAAAGTAAGTAAAGTTATGAGAGATAAAGAACGGTATTACATAATGATAAAGAGGTCAATTCTCCAAGAAGATGTAACTATTCTTAACGTGTATGTACCTAACAAAAGAGCATCGTTCATGGATGGCAGGAATACAAGATGGCACAGCCATTATGGAAGACAATTTGGTGGTTTCTTAATAAACTAAACATACTCTTACCATACCATCTACAAATTGTACTCTTTGTTATTTACCCAAAGGAACTGAAAACTTACGTCTACACAAAACATGCCCATGGATGTTTATAGCAGCTTTATTCATAATTGCCAAAACTCAGAGGCAACCAAGAAAAGTCCTCAGGAGGTGAATGGATAAATAAACTATGGTACGTCTAGACAATGGAATATTATTTGGTGCTGAAAGGAAACGAGCTCTCAAGCCATCAGATATGGAGGAAACTCAAATGCATATTACTAAGTGAAAGAAGCCAATCTGAAAAGACTACATACTATGCGATTCCAACTATATGGCCTTCTGGAAAAGGCAAAACTATGGAGACAACCAAAAGATCAGTGGTTGCCAGGGGAGTGGGGGATATTAATATTCAGAGCACATAGGATTTTTAGGGCAGTGAAGGGTCTGTATGATACAGTAATGATGAATATTTCATTATACATTTGTCCAAATACATAGAATATACAACACCAAGAGGAACCGTAAAGTAAATTATAGACTTTGGATAATGATATATCAATGTAGGTTCATCCTTGGTTTAAAAAAAAAAAGTACCATGTTAATAATGTTGGGTCATATGGGAAATCTCTGTACCTTCCTCTCAAATTTATTATAAAACCTAAAACTGCTCTGCTCTTAAAAAAAAAAAAAAAAAAACTAAGTCTTTACAAAATACAGTTGTGGTTTCTTCATTTCTTCATTATATCATCCTCCTTCATTCATATTATTCACTAAGGATAATCAAGACAGCTAACATTCGAGTGCTTGGCATGTGTGTTTCAGGTACTGCTTGAGTGCCTTATATACTCAAAACAATTCTGACACAGGTACTATTATTATTCCCATTGTACACATTAGGAAACTGAGACAGAATAAACTTGACAAAGGTCATATAGCTAGGAAGTGACAGTGCTAGCACTCAGACCCAGGTAGTCCAGCTCATCACCATTATACTATGCTGCTTCTGCTTATTCATTCATTCAATCATTCATTCACTCATAATTCATCAAATCTTTATTGAGCATATGGAATACACCAAGAGCTCTGACAGAAACATTTTCAAGAAGGAAGATCTCAAAACATTTACCCAGGAAGCTACTAAAGGAAATGCTCCTTCAAAACCAGGAAATAAATAAAAGAGGACGCTAGTGGAGGAGACACTCCATCAAACCACAGACGTAAACAATAAAAGATGCAGACCTGGGATCCACAAAACAGAAAAATCCAGGAAAAAGGAGAAGAGAATTCCAAAGACAGTGGTAAAGCATAATCCCAGAATGACATCTATGTGAGAGGCCTAGAGAACAACCAGTCCAGTTTAGAGATGAAGAAGGATGGAGGGTTCCAGAGGGATATTTGCTAAAACACCCATGTGATTGATTACCCGATGCGCTTGACTGTACAGAGAAGACCTCTACTGGGCAATCTGAGGAAAGAATTGCAATAGGAACATAGAAGACCAAGGAAAAAAAAAAAGAGGCCATTATTAACCTTAAGAAAATCAAAATGTTGTACCATGGTATGTAGATTGCATTATTCATAATTATATAATTTATTCATTCCCTTTCCACCCTTGCCTTGCTTCCCTGCAACCAAAGCAGACTTCCTACTATAGTGACCTGGGGCTTGGCCTTGTGACTTGTTTTAGACAAAGGAATGTGAGTAGATGTGACACATGCTACATCCAAGGAAAGCTTTAAATGTATTTGTGGGGTCTGGTTCTATCTGCCTTTATTGTCTGCCCCATATAGGGTCTATCCACTGGGATTAGATCTCAGAATGAGAAGACACATGAAATCAAGATGAACTGAGCACAAACAAGGCTAGTAGAAGCCAGCAGAGTCTCAACTGTTTCCAAGGCTTTTGAAATATGAGCAAGAAATAAATGTTGTTAGCCACTGAAATTTGGGGTTTTGTTTGTTTTGTTTTTACTACAGCAAAAGCTGACTAATACACATAGTACAGTCCGTAGCTCAGCAACAAACAATATTTACATAGTCATAATAATATAGTTACATTGTAATCATAATTGACTATATTACATTAATTGTAGTATAATTTGTAATAATAATAAAAACACTGATATAATAGAGATGCAATCAGAAAACTGACACTAAAAATTGTGATATAACTATGTTAAGAGGGTGGGGAGAGAGGGGGGGAAGCTGAGTAAAAGAGCTAAATCCTAATATAACATAGAAGAAAATCAATAATGTTTAGATTTGCAAAACCAAGAGATACAAGTATATTATTTAGAATTATGTGGGTAAATTGCAAAAGAAACAACTAAAAGCACTGAAAGTTTTTGCCTCAAGGGAACTAGAATCAAATGTGAGAAGGATGCAGATAAGGGAGTACATTTTTTGTTGTAAGACTTATAGTACTATTTGATTTCCTCTGAACTATCTACATGTATTAACTTCATAAAAATCTTAACTCATGTGCACAAACATTAAAAACGACAATAAAATCAAGAGAAGCAATCGTGCCTGACTGACTAAAATAAAATGTATTCTGATGCTGAAAGGCAAAAGAAAACCCAAGTGGGAATCAGAAGAGCCGGTGTTACTGTTTCACAATCTGGCTTCCACTTTTCTCTAGCGACATCTTTCTTGACTCCATTCATTATTTATAGGAGAACAAACTTTACTGTAGAATTACAGTCTTACATTTTCAGTTCCAGATGTCACTGAAAATATATTATAGGAAAGATGCTGCCTAAAAGTGAGATAATATTAAGGGCTAACCTGTACAGAGAGCCCTCAATTAACAGAAGTTGATCATCTACTCTACGCATCATCTACAATCACTGCATGTCCTCTTCCTAACAATTGCCACCTTCTGGTCATTTTGATCATCTTCACTGCATTATCAAAGAATGAGAAAAATGATTAAAAGTGATTAGTAAATTTTGCTCCTTTTTAAACAACTATAATTCAGGGACAGTTTAAGCTCAATATGTGAACAGTTTTATTCACAAAATAAATAAATTAATAAGTAATATATTTTACAAAATAATTTAGTATAGGATCCCTTTAAATAGCAGGCCTGCATTTAAATGACTGGATTTACCAAAATTTTGACAGTTTTCTAGAAATACAGTTACTGGGCAAAGGATAATATACTTGTTTCAGGTATAATGATAGAAGATACTAAAGCTATTTACAAATAGTTTAATATTACCTATAGATTTCACATAAATATGTTAATAGTCTCTCCCTTTAACATGAACAAATGTAAGTTATTTTCCTGCTGCAAGTTTCAGCTAGTAACTTCTATAATGGACAGAAATATGATGGATACAGATACAGAAAGTATCTTAACTGGGTGATACCATCTCATTTAGATATTCTGATATACTCTTAACCATAATGTGGTTTGAGTTGTAGTTCAGAGGCCTGCTGTGTAGGAAAAAAGCACTGGGGCAGAACAACAAAGCATAAGAAAATAATTAACAGGACATGTTTTTCATACCTCTTCATCTTTCATATTCACATCCACGTTTTTTGATTTGAAGACTTTGGTTATATGGTCAATGTTGTTTTCCCTGCAGTAATCAAATATGTTTTTGTCTTCTTCCCTAATTAGAGTAAAAAAACAATAGTGTTTGTCTTACTAGGTAATACATAAATGTTACGTATTTTTAATACAATCTGTTTGCTGCAAACATTAATGGAATCTGTTTTTATAAATAATTTTACATGAACAATACTGGACTTTCAGTAAGACGTAATACATCCAATCTCTGAAAAGACTAAAGTTCCTAGCAACTATAATTATACAGAAGAGCTTCATCTGCTTTAACAAGTTACACTAGTACAGTAATATAACATCTTGAGTAGATTTTCTCAGTGCTCTTTCTCTCCCCAGTTACTTTTATACACTGACAGGCACATATATCCTCTGACTCAGAATTTTCAATTGTAGCACTGCAGTGAGAAGGTCATTTACTGTTGCCTGTACAGAGGTAGCAAAAGACCAGGACACAGCTTACTACTTCTCTTACAGAATAACAGAATGATAAGTTGGTTGCTATCCAAGTTTTTAAGAAATTACACACACAACACGAACATATATACACACACACTGAAGTAATTTTCTTAAGGGAAAGATAATTAGAGCATCACCAAATTCAGAAGTCCTTCATGAGATAATAAAAAAGACTGGGAAGCACAGTATGTACTCAGCACTATTCTAAGCATATCAATGTACTAATTCACTTAATCTTATCCAACAGCTGCTTCACTTCACAGATAAAGAAATAAGGTAAGGAGAGGTTATATGACCTGTCAAATGGCATCACATTTATCAAGGGCAGAATAAGAGCTAGAACTCACTCAGATCAACTGATTTTGCATATAGGCCATTTTTCTATTATATCAAGCTACATCTCAATTAGTAAGCTGTAGTCTCTTCCAGAATCTAAAGCAGAAGTTCTTAACATGAGGTCTATGAGTTCTCTAAAATAGTATACAGAATTACCTGTGCAAATGCATAATGCATTTTTCTGACTGTGTTGGCAGTGGGTAGGTGGGGAAGGGGGAAGTAGCTTCAGTGAGGTTCTCAAAAGGATCTGTGATTCCCAAAAGATCAGTAATTTGGAATATTAATAATGAAACTGTTCTACACTTTCTAAACAGGCATAAAATAATGCAATTTGAGTTTCAAACATTATAACTAGTATATTCTACAACCTGTAAGGCCATAGCTTCCATTCATCAGAAAAAAAGCATCTGACCATAGGAGTCCTTCTATCTTAAAAGCCAATACCTTATACCCTATAAAACGTTATTTCTAGGGGGCTTCCCTGGTGGCGCAGTGGTTGAGAATCCGCCTGCCGATGCAGGGGACACGAGTTCGTGTCCCGGTCCAGGAAGATCCCACATGCCGCAGAGCGGCTGGGCCGGTGAGCCATGGCTGCTGAGCCTGCGCATCCGGAGCCTGTGCTCCGCAACAGGAGAAGCCACAACAGTGAGAGGCCCACGTACCGCAAAAAAAAAAAAAAAGTTATTTCTAGTCATAGGTAATTAACTTAAAACACACTACTTTGGCATTAACAGTCTAAGCCTTCCTTACGCATGTCATGTATTTAATTGAGCACCTACTACACGCAAGGCACTGGACAAGATTCTGTTGATAAGAGATGATAAGGATAAGCAAGAAACTCTGCATTCAATACATGTACAGTATGGTTGAGATGATAAAAATCTATATACCATTAACATAAGGTAAAATTGGATTTTTAAAAAGGTCTATCAGAATACAGAGGAGAAACAGCCTGCTTCAAGCTGGAGAAAATGAGCTAAGTTTCCAGGAAAAAAATCATGTTTTTTAAAAAAATAGGGTCTCTTGAAAATGTTCTTTTGCAAAAGAGAAAATGCTTTTCCAGATCACTTATTCTGGAAGAAAATAGTGAAGTCTGAGGCCAAAACCCCTGAAAGGAGAAGTCTGATTTTTTAAATTAAGGCTGCATATAATAGTATTTTAGCTATATTTAACTATCACAAAAAATACTTTCTATGAAAAAGTGCATTCAGCATTCTGACTTGGGAAAGAGAGGGACCTATTTTCCTTCAATACAATAACAGAGACCCCTCTAAATCAAGAGGCAGAAACTTCAACTGTAAGAGAAAGTATTGCGTCATTTTAAGTCATAATAAAAAATACACTACTCACCAATTGTTTTGGATTTGAAAATAATGGGGAGTTGGTGGTGGGACACAGAAAGGAAAGTATGGAGGATCCTTGGGATGTAGGTTACCCATACCCAGTAAAATGCAAGAATAATTCAGAGATGGGAGGACCTTCTGTGTGGTCCTTTTTCCTTAATTCCAAATGTGCACGTACACTTATGCCATAAGCAATATTATTTAAAATGTTTATATTGCTTAATATATTCTCAATGTTTCTTATATGTATCATTTATATCAATTATTTTGTTTTGGTATGTGAATTTTTTGGAGGTCGGGGCACTTTTTCATCTGTATACCTGCTTATCAACTGCAGTTTATCATTGCTAAGTATGTTAGGCACACAGAGGTATTTATAAAATACTTCAGGGTAGAGTACACAATGTAAATTAAATATAAAATGGGAAAGTCAATAAAAGTCACCACAAATGTGCTACAAAGCTGTGTGACTAATATTACAAAATATTAAGTGATACTCTTGGGCTTAGTTGTTAAATATAGTTATCTATCCCCACTTCAAGTTTTAACTATCTTACTTGCCAGTAACCAAGCTGTCTTTATACAACATCACCACCTAGTGGCCAAAATGGAGAAATATCTGGAGTAACATCTTTCCGTTATCTCCTTTCTTGCCCCCAACAAGATTATGTACAATACACAAATCATATTGTCTTTTTCCCTCTGTATTTCCCAGTTAATACAGTCTTCCACAGGCAATTTTTCTCTGTATATCTATACTTAAACGAAACAACAGGTGTAAACAAATTCAACCATTACTAAATACGGTAGAGCCTTAATAAATGTTAGTGCCCTTCTACATCTTCTCACTTTATCTTCCCTTCTCTTTTGATTGTTACCCGGTTATCTTTTTCCTTCTCTCTGATGAATGTGAGTGACAAAATTATCATATCCACTATCTACAGATGAGTATGAATTATTTTCATGATGCTACCTACCCTCAAGAACACCCCATATTATCATAGCACAGGACTCTCTTTAGATTACTCCAAATTTCCTAAAATTGACAGAAAATACATTTATCTGAATGAAAAACACCACTGGCTTTCTTTGAAATTCTTTTGAAATATAAGGGTACACACTTGTGGAAGAGAAGGATGGTGTTTAAGTATAGCTGTCTTTCATCAGAATCACGGGAAGAAGAGATTCTTGCCCACTCCTAAAAATGCTATCTGCATCACTTTCTACAAAGACTGCATTTTCCTGTCAAAAGACTATTTCAGAGAGTTAGCCCTCTAAAGATGGCAAGCCATCTAAAGTCCATTTAACTACTTTTCATCTACTTCACAGAATTAAAAAACACATTTATGGGGCTAGCTCAGAAATCTAACTATTTAATAGACACATTCAGTAAACACTTCAATTCAATTCATGTATTTATCAAGCAACTGGCAATCAAATATAAAAACAGTATTCCAGTAAACAGACAAAAAGTATTTATTGAATGAATGAAAACACAAAGAAGGGTAAGCCAATACTTAAACAAATATAAACGAATGCCACAAATTCCTCAAATCAAGGAATGTGCACCTGCGGGCTCTTGGGGGTACAGAAAGACCCAAAAGAATATGCAGGAATGGAAAATTTTAATAGAATCAATTTCAGCTAAACTTCTAAATAAACACATTCTTTCCTAAACTGATCTACCTGAAAAAGTTCCTGTGGTAAATATTTCATCGCCATTCCCCTTTTCAACATTCCCCCTGCTCAACCATTCTCCTAGTTCATAAAAGAAAAGCACACACCTTTCGCCATACTATGGTATACTTCTAGGAAACATAACCAAAAGACTTTACTAAGATTTAGCAAATGACTATTAATTAAATCTGTTACTCTTTTGCTTAAACGTACTCTGTTTAACGAATATACAGACCGGCCCCCCACAGTCAAAAATAACTGTTAATGGTTAATCCACCAACTAACTTTACAGTCAGCCCACGGTATCTGGGGGTTCTCCATCTAAGGATTCAATCAGCCGTGGATTGTGTAGTACTGTAGCACATATTTTGTGAAAAAATGTAAGTGAACATGCGCAGATCAAACTCATGTCATACAAGAGTCCACTGTGCTAGGAAAGGTTTGGGAAAAAAAATTAATCCCAGGTTGTACTTCCCCAAGATATAAACTGTCCATGGCACCAAATAAAGGGACAATTTTGGTGAAAAACTGGTTTTGGGAAGCCCTCCTACAACTAAGGTTAGAGGATGGAAGAGGTAAAATAAAACAAAAAAGACCTGATGCTAGGACTTCCCTGGTGGCACAGTGGTTAAGAACCCACCTGCCAATGCAGAGGACATGGGTTCAATCCCTGGTCTGGGAAGATCCCACATGCCGTGGAGCAACTAAGCCCGTTAACCACAAATATTGAGCCTGCACTCTAGAGCCCATAAGCCACAACTACTGAAGCCCACGTGCCTAGAGTCCATGCGCCACAACAAGAGAAGCCACTGCAATGAGAAGCCCACGCACCACAATGAAGAGTAGCCCCCGCTCACCACAACTAGAGGGAGCCCGTGAGCAGCAATGAAGACCCAACGCAGCCAAAAATAAATTAAAAAAAAAAACAATGCTGAACTCTGTCTCATTCTAATAAAATATTCATCTGTTAAATAAACTATTTTTAACATTAAGACACATTTCCAATAAAATTTTAAGACACGTTTCCAATAAAATTTTACTTATGCTTAATAATTATTTAACAAAATGTATAATGAATGTTGATCAGCTGTATAGAAATGTTATAATTCAAATGAGAAAAATTTAATGCTTAAAGCCTCTGCATCACAGAAAATTAAAATTTTAACAATTCCAACTTAATACATATTTCTGTTGCAAAGAATTGATAGTGTACTAAGACTACACAAAAATATAT